GAGGTGTGTTATGATCACGTCCATTTAAATTTTAAATTTATGTAAAGTGTATATAACGTAATGATCTATTAAGTGGTTTTAATGGTAAAAAAAATATTATTTTCTTTAAAAGTTTTGGCTTCGATTAATTATTTAGAATAATATGATAATCAGTTATTGGATGCATATTTTATTTAGAATGTGCGTTCAAATTTGAATTTTCTTCGATTAATTATTTATTTCATCAAATGTGTTCATTTTAAAATATTATTTTAATTTGGTCGTTGTTATTTATATATTTAGCAGTTTGGTCTTAATTTTAATAAATTAAAATAAACTTAACCCTCAAATCAAATGATGCTTTGAATAATGACCTAAAATTCAACTTTTTATTTTAATTTATTTTAATTTTAATAGTTACTATAAATTTTATATTTATAACAAAACAAAATTTATAACAAAACATTTTTCTAAAAATTGAATAACTCAAGCAATAATTTATGATATTAAATTTAAAGCAAACTAAATTTATAGCCTTTTTAATATAGGTCAATCTCTTACTGCAAAATTTTTCATACTAAATCCACCGAGAATCTTATCAGTATAAACTTTTATTAAAGATGAAAATAGAATTTTATGGTAAAAAATTATTTTTTAAAATTATAAAGGAAGACTGTCAAACGTGAAAGAAATATATGTCACATTTTTCTATTAGAAATTTACTGGATAAAAAATTCTTAGTTTTACAGGTTAGATTATATCGCATTTTTCTAGTAAAATGACATTTACAAATAGTAGTATGATAAAAATTTTGTACTGCAAACTTTATATGCATGGTCTAATCGACTATATTTTACTTAAAATCAAAAGAGGCTATGGTACCATTGACGAGATGCTTTTGACAACCATAAATAAAATTTCTAGTAAAAATTTTGTTATGTTATAAATATAGAATATGTCGTAATTTTTAAAATCTTTTAAAATTAAAGATTTGTGGGTTAAGTTTATTTTAATTTATTAAAATTTGGACCAAATTGATAGAATATATACGTAACAGTGACCAAATGTATAATTATATCAAATATTTTAACTGTCACGTTAGCTTCTTCGTTAAATATTAATGGCAAGTGACTTAATTAAATGTGTTTAAATAGTTGAGTGACCTGATTGACAACATTTCAAAAATATTAGTCAAAATGAAAAGGGGTAATAGTTAGGTAGTCGCTGGTATAATTTATTTTTTATTTTAAATAATGTATCTTTAAATTTTTAAATAATTTATAATTATACGTTAAGTCCTTTAAAATTTAAATTTTTATAAGTTAAACTAATGTTGCTCGTAGTTATGCCGTAGAATTTTTCTAATTTGATGCAGTGATGAATGATTTATTAAAGGAGAAATCTGCAATATTACCCCTATAAAAATCAACCATAAACTTCATAACAACTTTAATATCCTTCCAAAATTTCTTAAAAATCCAAACTAAACCCATCCGGAACAGGAGCTCTTGTACCGTCCGAAGAATTAATTGTGAGCCAAATCTCCTCTTCCGAGAAAGGGCGTTCGATCCATCTTCTAGTAGCAGAACTGATCTTGTTAAACTGAATATCAAACCTCTTAATTTGTATAGTATTCACATCATTATAACAAGAGCGAAAGTGGTTGACGAAAGCTTGTTGAATCCCAACTTGATTTTTGAAAACTAAATTATGCACCTTCAGCTTCGAAATCTTATTCCTGCGACCTCTGAGCACAACAGTAAGATGAAAGAATTGGTATTCTCATGGTGGTCTAGGCTTGTTTGATGTTAAAGTTAGAAACCGAACATTGTTGAATAAATGGATTTGGCGTTTTAGCGAGGAAGTTGACAGTTTATGAAAAAAGATTATTGTTGCTAAGTATAATTATGATCCGTATGCGATTCTTCCTAAAAGTATTAGCGCTAGAAGGTATAATGGGTTGTGGCATGTCATCGTGAGTCCGGTATTGTCAAATGAGAATGATTTCCTTGAGGATGTTCGGTGTGTTATGGGGAACGGTGCAAGAATAGATTTCTGGTATGATCATTGGATAAAGTGTCATTCTTTGAAGGTTGTTTTCCCTATAATCTATAGGATGGATATTAAAAAGCATGACAAGAATATCGAATTCGGGAGTTGGGTGAATGGAATATGGATATGGAGGATTGAGTTGAGGCGTGGGTTGTTCTCTTGGAAAATACCGATTTGGGATCAATTTAATCAATTCTTTTCAGAGGTGTCTCAGTTATTCCTGGGATAGATAGGTTGAAGTGGTTAGGGGCTTCCAATGGCATATATAATTCAAGAGATTTCTGCATTAAGTCGGCTTCAGTCGGCTAGATCCTAGATCCTATTTGGAATAAGTTTGTTCCTCTTAAAGTGACTGCTTTTGTTTGGAAAGCGATTTATAATAGGCTACCGGTTGGGTCTGAATTGATTAAAAGAGGAGTTATTGGTAGCGTTCAGCCCCTATGCTTATTTTGTAAAGTTCATCCGGAAGATGTTATCCATGTCGTATGCCATTGCAACGTTGTATGGCAAGTGTGGCAAAGATGGTGTGTATTATTGAATGTTAGGATTATTTTCCCCTTGAATGTTAAACAGCTTTTAGAGATTTACTCGTCCCAATACATTAGAAGGAAAGTTAGGAATCTTTGGCATCTCGTCTTTTTCGGCCTAATTTGGCAGATTTGGTTGTACAGAAACAAATCTAGATTCAATGGCGAGTCATTCTCAGTCATAGGATTTTCAATATGGTGTTATTGCAGGTTGGGTTTTGGGCTAAGTTTTTATGGCCGTCACTGGTTTCACATGTGCTAGATTTTGTGCGTAGTCCGGATTCTATTATTTCTGGCCGAGATTATTGACTCTGCCTGTGGTGTGTTCTGGTTTCGATAGAATAGTGACTTCGTTCGCTTTTTCGCACTAATCTTAGCTGTTTTCTACTTGAATTTGCGTAGCACTCATCATGCAGCGTTTGTCGATTCTCACCGTTCTTGGTGAGTGAATTCCATCTGGATACTGGAAGCTCCATTCTCTGCAAGTGTAGGTTCTTGTGGTATTGGGCCAGCTGGTATGACTTCAGTAGTTCGTTCCATGGATTATGTTTCTGTTATTGCTCGAGGCTTGTGGATCCTTCTGCATTTTGGGTGCTGCTTCCTTTGGATGCTTTGCAAGATTCCGCTCCTTTCGATCTTTTTGATAGAATGTTAGCTCTCCTGATTGCTTTGCTTTTGTCATTCCTTCTTCTATGGTTCTGCTGCAGCATTTAAGCTTTTCCACTTCTGAGTGCCTGCCAGCGATTAAGTTCAGGAAGCTGTTCCTTATTCGTTTCGATGTTTAGTTTTTCCTTTGGTTGTGATGCCGGCGTTTGTTTATCTTTTAGTTCTCAATTCATTTTCTTGGTTAATCAAGCTGGCGTTCTATTGTGTTGGTTTGGAGTTTGTGGTAGGACGGAGGGATAGACTGTTTTTTTGTAAGAAACTTTTTGTGCGTATATTTATTACCAACCCATGTTATACTTTTTTTTCCGGGATGGGGAGGTTTTTAATGAGGTCGCGGAGGTGGTGTATTTTGTAATTTACCTTAATACAAAGTATCATTTTTAAAAAAAAAATTGATGCAGTGAACTTATTTTTGCCAAGATATTATGAGATTTCTACGGTAAAAATACTATTATATACTCAATCAAATGTTCATCGTAATTCTTTGGCAGTTAGCTCTAACAGTTGGACTGTTGTGTACCAAGTCCGTTAGACATGTTTGGGCTATAGAGAAAACTGTTGGTGGTTAGACATCTCTTTAGTTTTACTTCTCTAGATTGACGATTATTCTTTTGTTCTAATCCCTAAGAGAGGGAAATGGGATGCACGTGGTAGGGATTTGCAAGAAAATAATGGGTATAATATTTTTATTTTAATATAATAATAATAATAATAATATTTTATAATTAATTAATATAATTAATAAAATATTAATCGTATTTTAATAAATAATTAGTATAATTTATAATAATTTTATTTTAATAAAATATAATAAAATAAATATTTTTATTTATAAAATTATAGATATAATATTTTAATAATAATAATATTTCAAAAATAATATTATTATTTTTTAATAAATTATATTATTTATTGCATTTGATGTTTATAATAAATAATTCTAAAAAATTTATCAACCAACGTAAAATGAATGGCATAACATCATTTAAACACCGTAAAATAATTGTTAAAAAATATAATTCATTTTATATAATTTATTTTTCGTGAAACAAAAAGGACTGTAAATGAAGACCCCAAATGTATAGAAAACGTGATCAACTTTGGTCCACAAAATAAAATCCATTTAAACTTAAATATATAGTTTTAGAGATTTATATAATAAAGTGTCAATTCTCTTCTTTAACCTAATTCCCAAACTACTCAACTAAAAACTCTAACTAACACCGCTGACCATAAAATATAGTCATGTGTTGTGATAATTGGAGTCTCTTTTTGAAACGTTAAAGTCGTAATTATTTGTCGTTAATTTTTATGGTGACGGAACTAAAATTCATTTATTAAAGATTATTTAAAAGCTTCAATTTTAATAGAATCATTTAAAAAAAAACTTAAATTTATGGGGATTATATATACCAAAGAAACTTTTATATTTTATAGCAAAAAGCAAAAAACATAAGAGGTTTTTGTATTTAAAAAAATTAATGTTGTTCTCGTATTATTTTTTTTCTTAATATTACTCTTCAACTAAGAAAATAAATTTAATATGACTTTTTAATCAATATTTTTCATCGTTAATTATTATGATGCTGACGTGACAGTTTACATTAGTGAGATGATAGTTCACGATGATTGATAAGGTACTATATATTTTTTGAAATTAAATCAAAACTTTAATCCTTATATTTTTATTATTATTTTCGTTCTTATTATTTAGAAGGTGCCGAAGTTGTTGAAAACTAACCACTAATTTGACTTCCCAAAACACAAACTACCAGTTATCACAACACAACGATTGTACCCAAAATCGGTATCAAAAAGAGTGAAATTAATGTGAGATGAGATCAATTAACAAGTCATCCATCATCGAAGTGAAAAGCTCAAGTTGCAGCGCCGATCCAGCCTCCTCCTTTTCCACATTGAACTTGATCCAATTTACAGTATCCCCCATTTCTTTAGCATAAACTTGTTTCCGATCTTGAGCTTTCTCATTCCTCAATTTGTTCACCCCAAACTCTTCCATCAGTAATCTCTCCCTTGCGAACAAATCTGGGGTTTTGACTTTCTGATGGTTTGGTTCAGGTTCATCTTCAAGCTCTGCCTCTGCGGATGCAATCCGTTTATCCAATTCCAGTGGCTCCGGCTGAGCCAGCTTCTCAAACCTTATGATCTTTTGCATGAGCCTCTGTTTGGTTCCTGTTGGTCAAACCACAAACGTTAATCGCGGTTGTTATAGTAATGGAGATTGGTATGTAGGAAAGAGAGGGACCTTCCACCCGGGCCAACTGATCTTCGAAAACAGACCCATCGTCTTCTTCTTCTCCATCGAAAGGGCAATCTAGAACCGACACTGGACTCAACTGTTGCTTTGCTTCGTCGTTTGGCCAATCCTGTTCCAATTCCTTCGATTATCATTTTCTTTATTTTTCAGCTATCTCAAACAAGATTAATCATTACTGTGCCAATCATCTTTTCTAACCTAACTCCCAAGCTACTCACCAAAAAGCACAACTAACATTTTAAATATTTTTTTATAAATAATTTGTTGAAAACGCCATCAACAAATTATTAATTTTGAGACAAAAAAGGCGACAACAGATAAGAAAACGCCATCAACAGACAAAGAGACAAAAAAATTAATATTGAGAAACAAATATTGAATGAATCACCTTAATGCAGTTGACGGAATCCTCACCACCTGTTACGCCCACCATGTTGCTGACATTTTTCTCCTCCCGTAAATTTATTTTACTCGAAACAGCGTCGGCACCACCCAAGCCCTCGGAGTTACTGCTCGTAGTAACAACAGCGGAGGAGGTATCGGTGGTGGTATAACTGGCAACATTAATATGAACAGACGGTTGGTTTTTCTCTTCAAGAAATTCACGAAACAGTTTCCAGCTTTTGATCTCACCACGGCCATGATTATCTTCCTTGTCAGCTTTTCTCCATAATCTTCTTTTGAAGAGCTTCCTTGCAAAGCTCCTGGGTAAATCCCCTTTCCCTTTCCTCCAACTACTGTTTTTACCGACGACGACGATGACTTGGTGGATGGAAAAGGAAGCAGCTTGACGGCGTTAAGTACAGCATCCGAAGCTCTTTGCAGAGCAGAAATGGCGATGGAAGTGGAACCTGGCTTCGATCGACTTCTTTTCAAAGACCGTTTAGTAGAAGTTGAGTAATCATGATTAGATCTCTTCAAGTCAGTCTCGAGAAGAAACCGAACGGTGGTGCAACACTGGCGGCGTGGAAACGATCTGAAACCACTAGAAGAGCAAGAACTCAGATCTTCTCTGAGGTAATCTTTGAGCATCAATGGCTTTCTCTCAACTGAAAGTGTTGTTTTCCTAACCTGAACATGACCAGTGGGAATATTGATCAAAGCCATTTTCTTATGAAGAAGCTCAGAAAACAAAACTGGGTCAAACGAATTCAGGGCTTTGATGAAAGAAGAGTGTGCAGACTGTGGAGTTAGTTGTTACAGCTGGAAGCTGTGGTGAATATGGAAACCTGAAGGAGATAAGAAGGCATTTAAATAAGACTTTGAATCACCAGTAGATAAAGGCTTCAGCAGAAAGAGTAGCAGCTTTTTGCACAATGAAGAAACACATAAGAGAAAACAAGACAGGGGTTTATAGGGGAACGAAAGTGTTAAGGTAGTGATGAAGATTTCTAACAGTTAGAGAAGCTTGGATGACTCGTCTTAGCTCTGAATATTTTAGTGGGTGCATTTTTTTGAGTAAGGTAAGGCGATTATATAATATTTATTTGTTCTAAATACTCTTAATTATTTTGGATAAATTACATTATAGGTTACTAAACTATGCTCAAATGACCATTCTGACTATTAAACTTTTATAAACTGTAAAATAATTATTGAATTTATCAAATTGCTACAAATTGATCGATTTATTATTATAATAATTTTAAAATTTTAATAAATTTATTTTTTAACATTTTGATAAATTTAATGATTATTCTATAATAAATTGCTAAAATATAATGATCATTTTATAAAAGTTTGATAAGTTTAATGATGGTTTTGTAGCTAAATCTATAATTTAAGAATATTTCAGTGATCTATAGTGTATTTTACCCAACCTTTTATATTTATAATTAGTATACATTAAATGATGGGGATAGATAGACCATAGAGGGGAGGAGTTGGTGTGAGAATCTTACCCAACCAGTAGTTGACCATTGACAAATATGAAAATCTTCCAAGCATGCATGTAGGACTTTAAACGAGTAGAACGATAATGAACGATAATATATCTATGTTCGTTCGTTTAATTTTAATCTACTAAATGAACGAACACGAATAATTAAGTTAATGAAAATTTTTGTGTGTCCGTTCATTAAGAATTTTAGCTTGTTCATGTTCGTTCATGTTCGTTTGTTAAAATGATAAATGAACATAAATACAAACGTAAACGAACACAAACAAACTTAATCAAACGAATATAAAATTAATTGGGTTGATATTTGAGAATAGTTTTTTCTTTCTAAATAATTTAGGATTTATATTTTTTAATTGATTTGAGTGTTTTTATTTGGGTTTAAAATTAATTGGGTTTTAAAATATTAATGAATTTAATGTTAAAATTTATTAGGTCTTAATATTTTAAACAGGTCTAGAGATTAGGCTAAATATAAACGAACGAACATAAATTAACAAACATAAACGAGCGAATTACCGAACATTCACGAACAAAAATGAATGAACGAACTATTTGTTCGTGTTTATTCATTTAATTAATTAACGAATATAAAATTTTATTCATGTTCGTTCGTTGAATAAATAATAGAATATAAACAAATTTCTCCCTAAATAATTCGCTGAACATTTGGTTGGATCACATGCCTACACGCAGAGGAGAGTGGAGCAAGAAGGGAGGGAGAATCGGCTGCATGCCTGCCCATAGACGCGCTTAGCCACGTTTGCCTGTGGCTTTACAATTTCATTGCAAACAAATCTTACAATAATAATAGTATTAAACATTTTGGTCAAAAAGAAAATAGTAAGATTAACTATTGTATTTATTTATTTATACATATATTATATTATATATATATTTTTTTAATTTTCTGACTGTCGTAGGTCTTTCACGAAAGTTGTTCTCAACCTGACGTTGGGGACAACCTATTACTCAACCTCCTCTTATTTCATTCATTGCATATGAAAATAAGATTTTTTTATTATTGTTATTGTTGTAAGTATGGTTGGTGTAATTATTTGTGTCGGGGAATGAGTTCCCTCTCTCTCTCCCCTAGACTAGTTAGGGAAATCAATTAATTCCGTGCCCTTATCCAAGCTTTTTCAGGTGTTCAAACAGTGACCGATGAATCCCAACTTGCAAACTAAAGAGGAAACAATTTAAAAAATAGGCAAGGCTACAGATTTTGAAGTCGCCCAAAAAGAAAGCTGACATAAATGTAGAGCGAAATAAAGGGTTTAATTCAACAAAGAATGTACTGATTGCACGAAGAATGCGGAGTCATTCTAATTTTTTTAGATAATTACATATTTTAATAATTATATCCACACCAAAATTTTAATTGTATTTACTTTACATAAAAATTTTATGAATATTTTATAAAATATTTTTAGATCCATTATTATATAAGCACACGAGCCCCGCCAACTGCAAAAACACAATTTCTCCCGTTTTATTTAACTCGGGGCATTACCTCAAATTGAAGCATGTGCAACTGTTACTGGCCTTGCTACTGATGAGTACAGCCATTCATTTCTCGTCTTCACCTCGCATGAAAACATATATAATAAAATCAAAGCACGTTTATGATATTGGTGTTGGATGTGGAGGGTAGGCCGGCGACAGATAAAGAGATTTCAACGTCCGGCCACCCTTCATTTCATATCTAATTTTGTTTTGATTATGTTACGGGTACGAAAATTATTAGTCAATTAATTAATGGTTATTATTTCAAATGACGTGACAAACTTACATAATATCACGTATTGATATGATAATATCACATGCAGAGAGATGTTTACGTTACCTTTAATAATTTGATATTGAAGAATAATGTTATTCAAAAAGTCTATTAATGATTCAATAAAATATATTTTAAGATGATTATATACCCTACAACCAAACATCATAGTTTTATGTTTTTGTAATAGTTTAGGACGATTATAAGATAATTTATTTACAACTTTCTTAACCTATTGACAACGGACACCCTACATACGCAGTTGCTCGAACTTAGAACCTATAAAAAGAATGATATTTTCTTTTATTATTGAGACCATTTGATGAATTCTCGTAACTTTATATTTTGATAGAATGGATCGAACAATATCATATAACATTTAAAATGTATAATAAAAATTTTACATTTAGTAATCCTATCCTACGAATAAATATTACATACCATCATTCCTAAAAGTCTTCAAAAACACAAAATTTTGCCACTTAAAAAGCTAAAACAATGAAAGTGGAATGCATAAAATAAATGTACGATCGTCGGTTTTATAATGAATTGGGCCTGTCGTCGCACTCTGTTATATGAAAGGACAATGTCAATTGGGCCTCATCTTTGTCACGCGTGGACTTGGAGGAGTTTGTATGTACAAAACGCAGACACGTGGCTTGACCTGCTTTTTCTCGGTGCACACATCCTTGATAGAGCAACCGACAGGATAATTAACCTGCAGATACCTAGGGCGGTGTAAAAAGACCATATTTGGACACAGCGTTATTGTTCATTACCGGAAACAGGAGCGGAACCACAGCTTGATGAGGATAGATATTGAAATTCAGATTTTTTTATTAGTTATTTATTTTATTGATATTATCTAATTCGAGATTTTTTTTATTATCTTAAAATTTGAATTATTTTTTAATTAATTATTTTATTGACAATCTAAAAATTTTATTTGTTTTTTTGCTGTTAATATATATTCGCACATCCTTAAAAATACTTTTAGATTATCCGGAAACTACAACTAAAGGTGCGTTTGGTTCGCGGAATGTAAGATTATCAGTGTGAATAAAAGATTACTAGGGAACAAGATTACTGGGAATGTTGTATTTTGTGTTTGGTTGGTTTAACATGAATGTAAGATTACCGTGTTTGGTTAAAGGAATAAAAGATTATTGGAATGTATATTTGATCAAATTGTCCTTATTATATATTTGTATAATATTATAAATTATAAAATATTTATATATTTTCTTTAAAAATTAAATTCATAATATTTATATAATTTTTTTATAAAATTAAAAATATAAAAAAGGCTTAATGAAAGGGTAAAAAAATTTTAACCCCTGAACTTTATATAAAATTTTAATTATAGATTTTTTTTTGTAAATCTAAAATAATTTAAGGATAAATTTGTAATTTAACCTTCGTAGAATTTTTATTATTCAATGACAAAAAGAATGATATTTTTGAAAAAAAAATAAAAATTTAAGAGTATTTTAGTCCAAAATGCCGGTAATGTTACAATACCTAAGGGAATAGATGTAATGACATTCCTGGTAATATACCTAAAAAATATACTATTAGTAATAAAACATTACCGAGAATAAAATTCCCGACCAACCAAACATAAAAATATGAGATTCTCATCCCATAAAAATCTAACAATCTTTAAACCAAACACAGAAAAATACTTGGTACCGAGTCTTCATTCGGGAAACCCTCTGAAGTCATCTTTTTAGATTCCGTCGTTGGTAAGGAAAAAGTTCTTTTTAATAAACCACGCTGACTTTTACTAATTATTAAATCGATTTGATTTATCTAATTATCACAATAAAGTATATATTTTGAATCAATTTTTTTTTTTATTTTACATATCTTTACTTTTATATATAAGAATAAAAAATGATTATCTCTCTTAATTTTCTTTCTTGTCAAACCCATCCGCAATGTATTTATTTATTCATTTTCCCCTCTCATTGTTTCCTTTTTTTTTCAATCAACCAAGTAAAGCCCTAGATAATTATAAACTTGACGTCAATCCAAATAAGAAAAACACGAAAATATTTTTTAACTAATATAGGGTGATTACAAATAGTAGTATCTGTTTTAAAAGAATTTTAATCATTTGACAATTGGTTCTTTTAAATACCTATTTTTAAATAATAATAATAATAATAATAAGTATTATTATAATTATAATTTTAAATTTTCATAAATCAAAAGTTTAACTTATATTTGTAATATCTACCATTTAATTAACACTGAATTGAGATATATTATTTTTTCTCGTTCTCGACCTCCTCATTAAAGGTGTATAAATTAAACCGAAATTGTTAATCGCAACGGTTAACTAGTGTAATCATTATCTTTTATATGTTAATTAATTGAATCGTTAAGGTTACATGGTTTCGGTTAATCGAACTGTTAAAAGTGTTTGTTGACGGTTACGATTATGGCTACGAATTTTAATAGTTAACCATCGATTAACCGTTAATAAATTATAATTAATTATTTATACTTTATAGAAAAATATAAATAAAATCAAATTGTTCCTCCCTATTTTTTAATTATCATTTTATCTTAATTGAAGCACATTAAATCAAAATAAATAAATAAAATACTTGATAAACTGTAAAATATAAATATGCATATAAGATTTAAAATTGCAAAAGAAAAAATGAATATACCTCAAAATATATACTTATATAAAAATAAAATACATCTACAAATAAATCACATGTTTACAAATATATGTCTTGATC